ACCCATTGGTCTGCTCAAGTGTGGTCGCGCGTGCCTCGGGGGATCTGTTGTTTCTGCTCTTGGCCGCGGCCGCGCGAGCGAAGAATCCCGGCGGTCGTTCTCAAATCCTTCGAGTCTTCGGGCTCGAGGCGTGAGATCTCGAGTTCTCCCGGAGTATTTCTCGCGTTTTCGTATCGTCTCGTGCGTGGCTTCCTGTCTCGAGTGTTCTCGGGGTTTTCCCTTTTCCGGTGCCGGCGCGATGCGGGGAAGGGGCGCCGGGCAGGGTGCAGATGCGCCCCTCCGGCCCCGGGATTTTGGGGCGTCTGAGGACCCCCTGCCGATACTGGCGATTCCCGCCCGCATCAAAACAGTGCCGTTGCATTTGGCTTTGTGCAGTGCACGTTTTGCGGCATGCTTGTTAGCAGACTTGTGTGCGTTGTAACATGGAGCAATCGGGCGCGCACCACAGCTCGATTGCTCAGACCACTTTTTTGTCCCACCGCCTCTTAAGGCGTTACATTCTGGACAGGGGTGGGTCCCTACGCCCGTCCCGGGACGGCGGGGTGCAGATGCGCCGCTCCGGCCCCGGGATTTTGGGGCGTCTGAGGACCCCCCGCCGATACTGGCGATGCCCAACCGCATCAAAACAGTGCCCTTGCATTTGGCTTTGTGCAGTGCACGTTTTGCGGCATGTTCTTATTGGGTCGCACAAAAACTTCCACGCATGTTCATACTTCTTTTTTCAAGCGCAAAGATTTCGCTGCAATTGCCGCACACATTCCAGCATTTCCTATGAAGTCCTGATACCGATCCAATGATTCGGTGTATTTTCCGCTCTACCTAGATTTAAAAAGCACCCCTGGAAGTTCTGCGTGCACATCGTCATGCATGCGGTGGGCCCGGGGCCACAAAGCTACGGGAACCCCCACGTCAAGCACATTCAGATACCAGGGAAATCATGTGACTGCACAGTGATTTGTGTAAGTCTGCGGACAATATAACAGTAAAGGGATTGCACCACGAGGCAATTTCGTCAGCACGTAGGCGATTGATGCGCTTGAACGCGATTTGTGCGATCTCCTGCAGGACCATCGCGTGTACATCTGGCATCGACGGCATGGTCGGTTGATTCGTCGCTTGTGCGGTGGCCGCCTTGGTCATAAACAAAGTGAAACGACAAGGATTGCTCCCGACCTTGTCCGGTTCCGCAGCGCTTTGGCTCATGCCAGAGAGTTCTCTCCTGCCTGCATCGATCTTGCCACAGCCTTAGCCAGTGGATTTGCGCATGCTGACGTTTTTTTCTCATCACTTACATGAGCCAAGCAAGGGCACGTGGCTCGTGCCTGACCTGTAGCGTGCCGGCCTGAGTTTGCAGGTTTGCTCTTTAGAACTTTGCTCATACATATAAGATCAAAGATTGCAGAAGTCTTGTGCTGTGGCAGGATGAGCAGTTGGTCCTCGGTCGCGTTGGCCATCGTTGCAGCCTACTGTGCTGTTCGGCCAGCACGCGCAAAGCATGACCGTTACATCCTGAGCGAAGAGCCCCGCATCGAGTTGAGGAAGGGCTTCCTGTCAAAGTCGCAGACGTCGGCTCTTCGCTACCTGGCTGAGAGCGAGATGTACCACGATGTGGGCTCTGCAGAAGGTGGCAGCAAGTCTTCATCAGACACTGCTGGCGGTGAAGAACTCTGCATCCTCAACATCTCAGATGACTCTGACTTTGAGGAGGGCCCAGAATGGACAGCTGTGGAAGAGTTTCTTGAAAGGGCGGTGACTTGGGCACATGGGCAATATCCTCTGCAAGGAGGCGATAGGCAGGAGCTTCCCGCAGTGTACGTGACCCGGTGGGAGCCTTGGCGGCCGGATGGTGCCCTGAACAGATCTGGGCCACTTGACATTAAGCATCAGAATTCAATGTGCACTTTTTACTTTGCAGCTCTCCGACCGCTACGTACCTAAAGACAACATTATGTTGAAATGGGTGTCAAGCCAGCAAGCAAGCAAGCAAGCAAGCAAACAAGCAAGCAAACAAGCAAGCAAGCAAGGAAACAAGCAATGCAAGGCCTCTACATTTGGATGCCCGCCTTCACCCGGAGAGACGACGCACGGTTCTAGCGTATTTGACTGGCTCCGGAGATCTTGAGAAGTATGGCGGAACCGTCTTCCCCTGTTTGGAGACTGACGATATGGAGGCTAAAGAGGTAGCAAGGCGCCACAGACTCTGCTCGCGAGCAGCGAGGCACTTGCAGCATGCCCACGACAAGCTCATGACACTTCGTCGGGAGGGCTTGGAGTTGCCGCCATCCAAGCAGTACACCTTCCTTGAAGAGCATCCGGAACTGGCAGGGCTTCCTGCAGAGACACCAGAAGGCATCCGGCCAATCAACTGGCTCTGGCTCCCAGGATTCGATGGCCTCGCTGCGGAGGCTCCAGGTCAACTCCGTGCAGAGCCTCTTCACCTGTTGGCTGAGGCGATGTGCCAAGGAAAGGCGCCAGGCCTGCGCGTTTCGTCAAAGGATGGGGACGCTTTGCTCATGGACATCTTGGAGCCTGCTTCCACTGCTTCCAGGGCTGAGGCGGCAAAGGTTGATTGGCGTTTATGGCATGCCGGATGCAGTGCGCTGGATGGCAAAGGCCACAGGATTACGGCACAGATCTTTTTGCATGATGTGCACTCTCTAGGAGCTACAGATGCTCAGATTTGCAATGAGTGCAAGGGGTCGCGCTGCGATGCTCGCACTTGCAATGCAGCGAATCAGTAGAAGATTCCAGCGTAGGATTTGAGTAGCATAGGATGCGGCGGGGTGTGGCTCCTTGGCAGGAGCTGAGGACCATGAATCACAAAAGGGCGTCATGCGGCAGTCTGCTTCAGTCAGGGCGCAGGACATAGCCCTGGAACCAGACCAGATTCAAAACGGGTGCAGAGGGTAGCATTCTACTCAGCAGGTGCCAGTGAGAAGGCTCCACCTGCATCGCCTGGAGCCTTTTGCCGCACAACAGCCACAGGTCATGCAGAGCCGGTTAATGCTGTGAGCTGGAATGGTTGAGAGCTCAAGGAATGCGGTGTCCAGCTGTAGCTTTGAATGTCACCTGCACATTCGCAAAATGATGCAGGTCAAGGATTGCTGGCATCAGCTTCCGATGACAACAGTATCATCATATGGGCTGCCGCAGGCGGGACATGCCAATCTGTACAGGGGAAAGGATAATGCTTCCGACGTGCAGTGGACTTTGGCGTATTCCCTGATAATCCCACAATCTCTGTGCAACAGGCGCCAAATTGCGTCCATGAGTCGACAGTTGGACCCTCAGTGTTCGGGGCATCTTGCTCCATCCTACAACTCCCATCCCAGTGTCCCGTAGAGCCCTCCACGTTGGTATTTGCAAAACCTGTTACGACATAGAGTCTGTAATCAGATCACTGAGCCTTGCTTCTGATGTGTGAGGCTTCTGGCAAATTTGCCGAGATCTGTTGCGGCGCGTGTAATCCAGCAAAAAATGCGGGGGTTGCTGTGGTGCGAGATGGGTTGTCTGGTGTGGGGTGAAGGGTGAGCGGGGGTGTGCAGAGTTGTGGTAGTGCGGATTTAAAGGTCGCTAGGTTATTTTGCCGGCCAAAGACCGACTCCCGGGGTTTCGTCCATAACCCCAACCCGCGCTTCTGGCGGGCAATGATGGGCTGTTGTTATTATGCATCAGTGGTGCCCCGCCCTCTGGACTTGGGACCGGGGCGAGTCTTTTTATTTCGTTTTTCTAGTGTAGCAAAGAATTTGTCTTTACACCATCTGCGCCGGTATGTTCCCTGTATAAACCTAATATGGTCCCAGCAGCAGGCTTGGTAAGGCATGCGCTTGTGCGACATGGGCTTTATGCATGTAGCGAAGAGGGTAAGGCATACCGCATACAATTGCAACAGCTGGGTAGTTCCGCTGCTTGATGCCCTACCTGGCCAGTCCATAGCGTTGACATATGTGGTATAATATCTGGTACTGCCAGGAACCCGACCTGATCAGGTACCTGCACGTGCAGAACTTCCAGCTCCACTAAATTCCACAACTCTTAGTAATTCCACAGGGCCAAGATTCTGAAATTCAAACGTTTCAAAATTCCATTATTTATGGGCTAAGAATTCCAAATTTCCGAAATTCCAAAATTCCAGAGCTCCAAAGTATGAAAATTCTGAGATTCCAAAGTTTCATAATTTTTGGACTAGGAATTCCAAAGTTCCAACATTCCCACATTATGATGAACCTTAATTCACTGCGGGGTTCTATTTTTTAGATGCACTGTCGCCCGCCACTCTCCGTGTGCTCCTCCGTCGCGCAAACATTTGGGACGCGCCCTTGCTCGCTTAAAAATCGCACCCTCTCGCTCGAGACATCCCAAAAAGATCGGCGTTTTTTAATCGATTTTCGACCCAACAAATACAGGACATGGCCTTTGCATGCCTTTGCTAGGGGGTGTCGGTGCGAACGGGACGACCCCCCGATTTTCAAAAATCGCGCTCCCTCGCGAGACATCATCATGTTTTGCCTTTTCGGACTTTATGAACGATCAACAATTGCGCTCCCGCGCGAGACGATTCGATTTTTTGACGTTTTGTTCATCTTCGTATCTTCGAAAATCGCGCTCTCGCTCGAGACATCCTCGACATTTCGTCGGTTTATCTTCGTCGAAATCGGATTGGGCAAAATTGCGCTCCCGTGCGGAGCATCCGGAAAATTGGGGTTATTTATCTGCAAAAATCGCGCTCCTGCTCGAGACATCCTCGAAACTTTGTCTTTTTTATCGTCAAAATCGACCAAAATCGCGCTCCCGTGCGAGCATTCGAAAATTTTGATCGTTACTGAACAATGATGTCAAGGGTTTGCTATACCAATCCTATACCACATGAACGTCGTTCGAGGTGGCTTTCCGGGCTCAAGAGGGAGGTACTCGGCGGAGCGTTTTGGTATAGGATTGGTGGGATTCATCGGAATCGTCGTTCAAAATTTGATCGTTTACGGGGCGATTTCTATACCAATTCTATACCAAACTGCTCCGCTCAAGGTCGTCTTCTTTTCACGAAAACTGCACTCCCGTGTGGAGCATCCTGAAAATTTTGAAGAATATCGCGCTCAGGTGCGAAGCATCCTGAAAATTTGGACGAGAATCGCGCTCCCGTGCGGAGCATCCTCAAAATTTTGAAGAAAATCGCGCTCCCGCGCGAAGCATCCTGAAAACCCGGACGAAAAACGCGCTCCAAAATTTGGACGAAAATGGTGCTCCCGTGCGGAGCATCTTCAAAATTTCGTCGTTATTTCGCTCAAAATCGTGCTCCCGTGCGGAGCATCCTCGAAATTTCATCGGCTCTACGTTCAAAATCGTGATCCCGTGCGGAGCATCCTCAAAATTCGGTCGATTTTTCATTACATATGTATGAATGTATACAAACTGAAAAAGTAATTGAGGTCTTCCAAGTCAATACAAACAAAGGCACACCAAAGTGTTCCTAAGCTGCATACACACAAGTCATTTACTTTATGCCACAGGCGCAATCAAGTCTTGAGCCAACATAAGTTGGCATGTCATGACTCACCTAAGTGATCACAGAGAAGTGTATTTTTAACACATACATACATACATACATACATACATACATACATGC